TGCTCCCCGCCGGGCCGTTCCTGCCGGCCGTTACTGCCGGCCGTTACTGCCGCCTGGCGCCCGGGGCGGCTGAGGGGCGGCCCCTCAGCTCCACAGCCCGCCGAGCCAGCGCCTGGCGCCTGCCTCTGTGCCCGGGGGTAGCTCTAAAATGTTCAGTCGTTGTTGACAAAGAAATATGTATTTCATGCACGGATATAGTCCGTTCTACTCTGCATAAGACTAGTTTACGCGGAGGAGGTTTCCTAGCTTCCCTCAACGTGAAACCACAAAAGTCCCTCATTGTTTTCTCACTTAACTTCCCCCATGAACATGTTCAACCATGTTTTCACCCAGGACACTGGAATAAGAAAGGTTTAAAGGGCTTCATTTTGCTTCGGGGGAGCTGAAATTCGGTACCCACTGCATGGTTAACAGGGCGCTACGCTCTCCGACATACGCGATGCATTTTCTCTTCATGTACTGCTGTTGCTTCCAGGGACAAAAAATAATAGCTTTTCAGTAGAAAACCAACTGGTGTCCGATATCTACACTGACTTCTGCGTGTTTCTCCTTGTGTAACAGCACAAGTTCAGAAACGCGCAGGGTTGACCCCTTAACCTGGACCTACCCACCCTGGTCTCGCCTTGTTCCCTGTGTGGCCTGGAAATGTTTTTTGCCAGAAGCGGGATGCAAATGGTCCAACAAAAGTCTAATTCATTCTTCTGCTTTGTCTCCCTCCAGACACAATCTCGTTTTAATTAAATTACCTTACCCCAATGAATGAAAATACAAACCACAGATCATATTCCACATTGAATTTTTCCACGGCCCGTTTTCTTAAAATTCCTCTCTCTGCTGTTCAAGGTCTTTTAGACGGAACGCACGCGCTGTGTGAGCCTCACTTCAAATACTCCAAGGATTAATTGAAGAACATGATGGAAGGAAGGGGAGAGTGTGAGTAAAATAGCTGGTTTATATTTGTATCCTCAAATGTCAGTTCATTACCAAAGTTAGAAACCAGCTGATGCAGAGAACTCATTATGGCCTCATTTAGAATGCTTATTTCTTGAGAGACAAAAAAGAATTGCCTTGCGCGGCTTACTTGTCCAACACAAATATGCCACATTTCACAGTACGCGTTGGAATGCAAAGTAAAGAGGGTTTTCTTTAGGGTGCAGTATGTTTAATACGCTATTTAACTTGTTCATCTGCATTTATTTAAAAAACGAAGCAGTGAGGACTCCCGCTGCTCTCCGTTCTCAATGCTCCTATCGATCCTTCAGTCCCGTTATTTGCATAGTTTTTGCGAGCTTTGGTTATTTATTTGGCAGCATGTAAGCCAGGCAAAATGAAACGGTCGGGAAAGTCACACCTACAGTCCTTTGCACAAAAGTTCACTTCTCCGGTGATTTTAGCGCTTGTAACTGTGTCCGGTTAGCAGTTAGGTGACTCGGATCTCTGTTCGCGAGCGCAGCCAGGATGCAGTGAGCTGCTTCTGGGAGTGAGACAGATGCACGGTGCCTGGGACAGCCCCGCGCCAGGCTGCCTGGCAGTGCCGGCTGGGGCACGCGTGTCACGCAGCCGTGACTCGCTCTGCAGAAATCAGGCTGAAGGCTGAAGTCAGGCTGAAGTTGGTTCTGTACGAATCCTCAGGTAGCTTGTAACGTCCCCCTTGCCTCGCGGTGAACAGTAAGGGTGTAATTTGAGTGGTTTGACTCAGGAAGGAAATTCTGCAAGTGAAACATCCCACAAATTTCTACTAACCCAGACTGCTAAGGGTGGTCAAAAGGTCCCCTCATCCGAGTTGTGGTTGGGACGCAGCCCTGGTGCTGAGGGGAAGTCTGCAAAGCCCGTCTGCGGGGAAGGCAGGGTACGTTGGTTGGTTGGTACTGGTTGCTGAATTTCCCTAGCGCTGAGAGCGTGTCATCCATGTAACACTTCTGTGCCATTAGAAAACATCCTGAATCAAGGGAAATTTGGAAGAAGTTGTTAAAAATTAGTGTAATGAAGAAAAAAAGAAAGTGCAATTGCTGGCGCAACTTGCCAACATTTGTATTAATCTCTGCGGGAGAGATTAGATTTTATTGCCAGCGGGCCAGGCTTAGTCATTTGTAGGGACCTTGAGTCGTACCTTACTGTAGAGCAAATCCCGTGGGTGTCTGTGGGTTTCCTTGTGAGATAAGGTATGGTGCTTAGGTGAATACGAGGTGTAGCTGTCCCCAGGAATCGCTGCCTCCATCTCCCCTCTTCCCCCGGCCCCTGTGGTGGTGGCACGGTTGTGCTGTCCCTCGTCACTCCTCTGTCCCTGAGCCTGCCGATGCTCCAGTTCCAGAGAAAGCCAAGTGTCTACTATTCACCTGCAAGTTGACGAACTCATTCTAGAAATGAATTTTATGTAACTGTATCAATTTTCCGAGATCTGGCTGTTCCTATTTCCCATCTTGTGTAAAATTTCCTCGGATAAGCAACTGCATCCTTCAAAAAACACCTGAGGGTTTTTTCCCTTTTCCCCGCACTCTTACCGTTACTACGTCCACCCCATTTGGTAGGAGGAGTAGAAATGTTGACAAGGAGGTCCCAAGAAACTCGGGTCATGAATCTTGCATCGAGTGCTCCTCTCCGGCCGTGTGCCGCGGGCGGGCTTGCAGCCGCCCCTGCCCGCAGCCCTCCGGCACCGCAGCTCCCCCGCAGGTAAGCCGCTCCCCGGAGGCGCCGGTCCCTGCTCCCCCCTCCCACTCCCG